ATAAAAACTACAAGAAAATACGAATATTTACAAAAAGCATGGGACTATTTACTCAACCTAAAAATAAGTTGTTCTCCACTCTTTTCTCTGAACCGTTCTAAAATCTAAAAATCTTACCTTTGGCATCTCGTAACAGAGACTGCCGACCAACACCTAGTAAGGTCTGTACCCCAGGAACACTCTGAGGGATCTCCTTATCTAGCAAAGGACCAATTCTCTCACAAATTTTAAGGAGGTAGTCTGGAGGAATGTGTGCATTGGCTGCTACCTAAAAAGCAAAAATATAGGAAAAATATATTTGGTTTAAAAGCAGGTTCATTACTAAATTGTTCGGTCATGGAGAAAAGCAGTTTTAGAATGTGAAGTCAGAAAAATAAAACTTTAATACTTAATCAAATTTGAGGAACAACCAAAAATAAGCATATTTAAATGACATAATGCATTGAAATGGTATGGTACTCTTACTTTTATATATTTAATTAATTAAATATAATTAAATTAAATCAAATCATTTAATTAAATCATTTGCTGAGCTGTCAATTTTATGAAACATGTATTACCAGGACAGCAAAAGTAACCATGCCCCAAATCAAAAAAGCACAAAGATGATGGATGAACTATTATTTGAGTTATTCAGTATTAATAATGGACGAATCACAAATCAGAAGATCTAAATTCTGTACAAATGATAGTACAAATGAAATTTATTACTAAATCTCACCCAAGTCCCCTTAGTACTAACAGTACACATTTGTACAATAAAGCAGAACTTTCTTCCTATAAAAGGTAATTTGTTACTCAAAGGGTATTCACTAATTATTTTATAAATACCAAATGAGATAACTATGTAACTAAAATAAACTAGATAGCTAGGTAACCAAAATTCCTTCACAATTGCACATTTTTTTAAATACAACTAAATTTCTGGACAGAAGCATATATATGTGAATGGGAATTAATTGATAAAACAAAAACTGTGTTCTGCTTTTCTTAACCTAAGCTAATATTCAAATCTTCGATGTGTTTCATAAATACATAAATATTAAAACAAGAGAAAACTAGAGTATTAAAATTCCATAACTAAAGGCTGGGGATTTAGCTCCATGGTGCTGTGTCTGCCTTGCAAGCACAAGGTCCTGAGTTCGATCCCCCTTACCAAAAAAAAAAATCCTTAGCTAAAAAAAGAACTTCTATACTCTCATGTTGACATAGGTCCTAAAATCATTTGGTTAGAATGCTAACTTTTATGTTTTATCACAAATATACGTATGTCTACCATCACAGAAGACATACATCAACAGGTCAAGAACAACAATACAACACAGAACAATTTTGTAAATCATCACTGATGGTCATTATGACAGAAGAAATTTTTTGTTTTGTTTACTTCCATATTCCTAGCAGTCAGAAAAGTGCCAGCACAAATCAGGATTAGATAAATATTTATTGAATAAATCAATGAACCAGGGCCAGGGATGTAGTAGCTCAGCAGTGCAGTATCTGCCCAGCAAGCACAAGTCCCTGAGTTCGATTCCAAAAAAAAACACAAATCAATGAACCAATGAACAAATGAATAAAACTCAAAGTAAAGTCTAATTGCAATAATGTTATCATAAGGAGTCCTAGTGAAATAATTTCAGATTCTCCTATCAGGGTGTCTTTGTTTTCTAGGGAAATAGAGGTTAAAAAACTAATATATATATATATATTTTCACCATTCTGCGAATATAAGTGATTCTAGTTTTAATCTTTGGCAAGTTGAAAGCCAATTTTTCCAGCACCATTTATTAAAGAGGCTATCTTTCCTCCAGTGAGGGTGTTTGGCTCCTT